ATGAAATCGCTTAGCGATGGGGTTTTGGCCATCACCAGAGCGATCGCTTAGCGATGGCCCCTATGGGGGGAAATCGCTTTGCGATGATCGCGGGGAAGCGATCATGGAAAAGTGACCCTTTTTGCACAGCTGATCGGCAGTTCCAAAATGGCCGCCAGAAAAACAAAATGGCTGCCCGCTGTTTTGCCTCACTTTAGAGGCACCGAAAATGGCCGCCCCTATGGACAATCTTCACATAAGGTCAGTTTTTAAGCCCATAGGAACGCATTAAACACGTTTTAATACGTTTCTATGGGCTTTTTAAAATCGCTTAGCGATTAAATCGCTTAGCATCGTTTTTCCTGGAACGGATTAACGTCGCTAAGCGAGGCACTGCTGTATTTATGAAATGGGAGGGAGTGTACTTACTCACTTCTGTTATATACTCTATGTGTCATGTCACCTGTCTCTCTCTCCTTTGTCTCCTGCTGCCTTGTAATCCTCTTTCATGACATCAGACGTTGCACTTTATGGATAGCACTGTTCTTTCTCTGGCCTTTTAAGAGCAGAAGAGTCAGTGCTATGGTGTCTTTTTCACTGGGAGGAGGAAGAGGGTAAAATAATTCCTGGTTTAAAGACAGTACAAGAACAAGGATAGCAGATGGTCAAAACTTTGCAAAGTTGGAAGGTAATGTAGATATTTTTCTAGTATGACTGTAATCTAGTTAATGTAGATATTTCTCTAGTATGACTGTACTAGAGAAATTTGGTATAGAATCAGAACTTTGGATCAGTGTTTAAGATTTCTGGTCCAGAAGTTTTGAAGAATTATGGAATGGGAATCAACAGGAGTAGATAAGAGAGAGTGCAGCCGGACCAGAAACTGAGAGATATTTTAAGAAAAAAAGCAGGAGGAGGACCCAGAGGTTAGAAACTGGTGGATCACTCTGTGCTAGGGAAAACCAAAACTAGGGAAGACAGTTACCAAGTCTGCAGTTGGAGAGATTATTCAAAGAGGATGAATATAGAAGTTGAAGAGAGTAAAAGACTACATGGGAGGTTTTGTGAGAAGCATAAGTGGGAGCTTGAGAAGACAATATCAGGTGAATTATTCTTTAGGCAAAGCTTTGAGTCTGACTGAAGAGACTTAAACTCCACGAAAATGTCAAATTAGGAAAGAGGGCTGTTGAAACAAGCCTATGAAGAGGAATTTAGTCCTGTTTTGTAAATGTCTTTAGGCGTTTGATACTTAGTGTGTTAAGCTAGAGCCAAGGATTCGTGTTCAAGATTGCACTCTGAGTATGTTGTCTTCTGTCTTGTGATAATGCTAGACACAGACTGTGTTGTGTTATTTGTAGATAACAAGAGAATTATTTAGAACCAAACATCTTTGAGGGCAAAAAATGACTCATATTTCCAATGAGAATGCCTTACAGTAACACTCACATGTTCTTAAAATTGACAGTCTGCTTTGAAAAGCTGTTTTTAAAACATGCATAAATGCCAACATTTGTAATTAAAATCAAAGTCAAGGAAAGTTGTTATCATTTTCAGTAGGATGAGCACAAGAACATTTCTTAGCTGTGAACAGAGTTCTCTTTAAGTGCTTTTAAAAATGAGTAGGTTTCTTTAATATATTAATTTACTTTTCTGACCTCCCCTTCTCAGTATGCTTCAATGCATAAAATAAATCTCAGCATACATTATTTAGTTACCAGCCGGTGATTTTTTTTAGGTTGTATATCTGAAAGTATTTGTATATGGTATCTGCTTGTAATGTGATTTTCTTTTTTTCTCTCCCAAAATAGCTTGCTATGGAATTGTGCAGGTACCCACTGGACCTTGGTTTTGTAGAAAATGTGAATCTCAGGAAAGAGCAGCTAGAGTGGTAAGTTTAAATTAGTATATAAAAATTTAAATGCAGAGTTGTTACAATGTTCTAATGCTCAATGGCATTACTCAGAATGTACTATCTTTAGCAGAGTGTTTGTGAAATGTTCTCATTTACCATTTAGCAGTAAGCACTTAGCACCTAGAAGAGTATGGGAGCACAGTTTCACTTTATATACTCATCCCTGGCAAATCAATGCCTGAAAATTTCTGCAAAATAAGGAATTGAATTATCACTAGATGGAGGCAACTGTCATGTTTCCCTGATGTTTACATTTGCATGTCACATTAAACCATGCAAATACTTGGCATGATGTCCGTGAGTAGGAACGATCCTGAAAAAGCCTAGAACTCGTGTACTGTGTGTTCGCTCTCTCCCAGCATGGGAGAAATAACATTTGGAAGCTCTATTTGTAGCTTTCTCTTAATTGTTCTGTCATGTAGAATGATACCAGTGTACTTTGTTTAAAATAAGATACAGTGGTGCCTCGCTTAGCGATCGCTCCGTTGAGCGATGAATTCGCATAGCGAGGGGGTCCAGGCCATCGCTGGAGCGTTCGCTCAGCGATGGCCCCTATGGCGTTTTTTCGCTGTGCGACGATCGCTAAGCGATTCGCTTAGCGATTTTCGCACAACGAAGCGGGGGGAAACAGCTGATCGGCGGTTCCAAAATGGCCTCCGCAACTTTTCCCGCCGCGCCCTCGCTTTGCGAGGGCCCAAAAATGGCCGCCCCTATGGAGAAGCTTCGCTCAACGGTAAGTTTAGGGCCCATTGGAACGCATTAAACCAAGTTTAATGCGTTTTAATGGGTTTTTTTCTTCCGTTGAGCGATGTTTTCGCATAGCGAAGGTTAATCCAGAACGGATTAACCTCACTATGCGAGGCAGCACTGTAATTTCAAATCACTGTTTCTGAAGGTGGTTTGTTCGTTTTGGACTTTGCAGTGAGCTGTGGTTAAAAGCAGAAGTAGAAGCAGGTCAGGAGGAAGGATGAATGCTTGAGTCCAGGGCTCCATATGGAAACCTGTGGTCCTTTTGATGTTGTTGATTAGACCTCACTGGACAACATGATATGGCCAAAGGTTAGAACGATATCGTGTTTCCCCGAAAATAAGACAGGGTCTTATATTAACTTTTGCTCCAAAAACCGCATTAGGGGGATGTTATTTTCAGGGGATGTTATATTTTTTTCATGTTACAGTGATCTACATTTATACAGTCGTGTTATCTTCTTCTGGTTGCTGCACAATGGTGGAGGGGGGGGTTTCACTTAACTGGGGCTTATTTTGGGGGGTAGGGCTTATATTATGAGCATCCTGAAAAATCATACTAGGGCTTATTTTCAGGTTAGGTTTTATTTTCAGGGAAATGGTAGATTCACCACTTAGATTTAACAAGTTGTGCAAATAACTATTAAAGGTTTTCAGAAGAGGGCAACTAAGATGCTAATCTAAGCCCTGTGAGGGAATTAGGGTATGTTTAGCCTGTGGAAGAGAAAAATGATATGATAGCTATCTTACATTACGCTTTGGAAAATGAAGTGAGTTTTTCTGCAGTTCCAAATGTTATGACCCAAACCAAAATACAGTGGTGCCTCTTACGAATGTCCTGACGTACAACCATTTTGAGTTGCGACCAGCTCCAGCTGCAAAGTTTTGCTTCAATTTGCGGCCAGCCTTCAAGTTGCAAACAAAAGAGGCAGGGAATAAAGGTGGGGAATTCAAATTAGTGGGCTAACCGTTGGTTGGTGAAGAGCTTCTTTGTAGCTCTTTTGCCCCAACTGTTAGTGTGTGCGTGTTTGCAGGGAGGCTTCGGACTGCGTGGTACTGCTTTCTGCTTCTGGGTGAGTACATTTACAGGGTTTTGCAGGGTGGGATTGGGTTTGGAGGGGTTGTTTTTGTGTTGATTTTTTGTTTTGTTTTTTGGTGTGTATTTTTTCCTTGCCCCATGGCGTTCCGATGGGGCTGGCTGTTTGTGTGTGGGGGTTATTTTTCCCCCCAGCCCCATCACGTTCCGATGGAGCTGGCTGGGCTGTGTGTGTGTGTGTGTTTTTATTTTTTTCTAGCCCCATCGCTTTCCGATGGAGCTGGCTGTATGTGGGGGGTGTCTTTGATTTATTTTTCCAGCCCCATGGCTTTCCGATGGAGCTGGAGGTGTGTTTGTTTTTGATTTTTCTCCCCAGCCCCATCGCCTTCCTATGGAGCTAGCTGTGTGTTTGTGTGTGGGGGTGTTTTTGATTTTTTCCCAAGCTCTATCGCATTCTGATGGGGCCTGGAGTGTTTTTTTAATGAGAGGGGAATCATTTTTTTGTCTGGAGCGAATTAATCGTGTTCCAATGCATTCCTATGGGAAATGGTGCTTCGACTTACAACCATTTTGAGTTACATCCATCTTCTGGAACAGATTATGGTCGTAAGTTGAGGCACCACTGTAAGATGATTTTTGACTAAGCATTAGGAAAAACTTTCTGACAGTAAGAAATATTCACTAGTGGAGCAGACTGCTTAAGAAAGTGATTGTCTGTCCTTTATTGAAGTTCTTTAAAGTGAGGTTGAATAGCCATTTATTAGTGATGCTTTAATGTGAATTCCCCTCACTGGTAGGGGGCTATACTGTGTGATCCTTAGAATTCTGATTCCATGATTGCTATAGGAACTGTTTTTTCCAGATTCAGACATTGAGTTACTATTTTTTATAGGTAATCCAATGTTCTTCTGGTTCCCTAAATGACTTAATTATTTGTTGGAGTTTGTAAGTCTGGGTAAAAATCCAGCCCTTTTGTTTTTGACATAATGACTGAAATCAGTAGTGTAAATTTGATGCCTAGTAAGACTGATGCCTAGATAGACTTATCTATCTCCTGAGAAACCTATACGTGGGACAGGAAGCAACAGTTAGAACTGGATATGGAACAACTGATTGGTTCAAAATTGGGAAAGGAGTATGACAAGGCTGTATATTGTCCCCCTGCTTATTCAACTTATATGCAGAATACATCATGCGGAAGGCTGGACTGGAGGAATCCCAAGTGGGAATTAAGATTGCCGGAAGAAATATCAACAGCCTCCGATATGCAGATGATACCACTCTGATGGCAGAAAGTGAAGAGGAGTTAAGGAATCTTGTAATGAGGGTGAAAGAGGAGAGTGCAAAAACCGGTCTGAAGCTCAGCTTCAAAAAAACTAAGATCATGGCCACTGGTCCCATCACCTCCTGGCAAATAGAAGGGGAAGATATGGAGGCAGTGACAGATTTTACTTTCTTGGGCTCGATGATCACTGCAGGTGGAGACGGCAGCCACGAAATTAAAAGACGCCTGCTTCTTGGGAGGAAAGCGATGACAAACCTTGACAGCATCTTGCCAACAAAAGTCCGAATAGTCAAAGCTATGGTTTTTCCTGTAGTGACGTATGGAAGTGAGAGCTGGACCATAAAGAAAGCTGACCGCAGAAGAATTGATGCTTTTGAACTGTGGTGCTGGAGGAGGCTCTTGAGAGCCCCCTGGACTGCTAGGAGAACAAACCTATCAATTCTAAAGGAAATCAACCCTGAGTGCTCACTGGAAGCACAGATCCTGAAGCTGAGGCTCCAATACTTTGGCCATCTCATCAGAAGAGAAGAATCCTTGGAAAAGACCTTGCTGTTGTGAAAGTGTGGACAGTGTCATCGAAGCAACCAACATGAAATTGACAGAACTGTGGGAGGCAGTGGAAGATAGGAGGGCCTGGCGGGCTCTGGTTCATGGGGTCACGAAGAGTCGGACACGACTGAATGACTAAACGATGACGAAGTCATCAGCTGTGGCTGTTTCTCAAGAATTAATAATTTCTGAGGATCCCATTGACTGTGGGAAGCTGTTGGGGACTCTGGGAGGGTTCTTTAATTTTGGAAAATTGCCATAGCTGCTGGAAGTCTTCAAAAATTTCTCTCCCCCCCAATCCTGTTGCCACCAACAATTTCCCGAGGAAGTAATAGCTATATAACTTTGATGCTACTATGTTTCAGCATCTATTCTCCAGTGAGCGAATTAGAGACTGCAGCAATAGAGATGTATTTTAATTTTAGGGTCATCGTACCTCCACAGTCCAGTCATGTTCATAATTGCTATGGTTAATTTCCTGGTGGTCAGTTGGAAATTAATGAATGCATTCTCCTTCAAAAATTCTTTGAAAAATACTTTTTTGTTCTCAGGTGCTACAAATGCTACCTACTCTATATCTAAATATGTACGCCTGGTCTTGGACCATATTAAAATCAACAATTTCTCATAAATTGACAAATGATCTGCAATCTTTTTGTCCTGAGGGCAAATTATGAGTCTTTTTAAAGGCCAGGCAAGCTAGTCATGGAATCATGGAATCATGGAAAAGTGAAGTTGGAAGGGGCCTACAAGGCCATCAAGTCCAACTCCCTGCTCAGTGCAGGAATACAATCAAAGCATATCTGCCGGGTGATTATCTAAGTTTTTATGGAATGCCTCTAGTGTTGGAGCACTCACCAACTCCAGAGGTAACTGGTTCCACTATCGTACTGCTCTAACGGGACGTTTTTCCTGATAATCAACCGAAATCTATCTTCCTTAACTTGAGCCCATTGTTGCATGTCCTGCACTCTGGGATGATCAAGAACAGATCTTGTCCCTCCTCTGTAAGACAGCCTTTCAAATATTTGAAAAGTGGTATTATATCACCCCTCAACCTTCTTTTCTCAAGGTCAAACATGCCTAGTTCTTTCAACCTTTCTTCATAAGGCTTGGTTTCCAGCCCCCTGATCATCCTTGTTGTCCTCCTCTGAACTTGTTCCAATTCGTTAGCATCCTTTTGAAGTGTGTCCAGAACTGGACACAATACTCAAGGTGAGACCTAACCAGTGCTGATTAGAGGGACACTAGCACCTCGAGGGATTTGGAAACTATACTTCTATTAATGCAGCCTAAAATAGCATTAGCCCTTTTTGTAGCCACATCACACTGTTGGCTCATATTTAGCTTTTAATCTGCAACAATTCCAAGAACAGCTTTTAGTCCTTGTTCCATCTTTTATTCTGTATCCTCAAATTCCTTAAATATCAAGGTATTTTACAGTGTTCAAAAACCTGAAATACCTGTTAGCCAGTCTGTATGCAAATTGCAGCTCTTTGGTTGTGGAATGTGCTGTCAAAGTAGGGCCATTCTCACATTTGATGAATTCCACTGGCAGGCAGAGACTTAAAAAGAATTAGATGGGCCTCTGGCCCATAAGGTGACTTGCAATTATGCTGTGTTTTATTACAACGTAATTGTATTGTTTTGCATTGATGTTTTATGTGCTTGCTTTATTTTGTTGCTGTATAAATATTGACTAACTTGAACATCATTCTGTGGAAAGATAGGATATAAATTTAGCAATTAACTAAAACTTGGTAAAATTCTGGTTCCTATGAAGAAGGCAAATTTTGTGCTATGGATTATAAAACAGGAGATGCAAAATGCAGCAGTATATCAAAATTTTAATTCCCAAGTGTCTATACTTGGAATGCTGGGTAGAATCTGTTTATTGACAATACAGTAATATCTCCCTGCTCTCCTACTCCACACCTGGTTGTAGCTGGAGCGGTGCCTCGGCTGTTTAAGAACTGAGCAGGGGTGGATACTAAACGGAGTCACTGCAGCCTGGAAGCTTTAAAACCTTGGGTTTTCACTCTTAGGGTTGCCTACCCAGCAGCCACCCCCCCCCCCCTGGTTCCCCTTGGTGCTATCACATGTCTGGTTTTGCCTTCTGACCTCACCACTACAAGGCAACTCTGGTAGTGGCAGTGCTCTTAAAAAGCAGGGAGGTGGTTCACTTTTCCTGTGTTGGAGCTGCTTCAGAGGGGCTCTGCAGGAATGGGGAAGAGTGGGAATTACTGTGAAGGGATCAGTGAGTCCCAGGAAAGACTTGACATGGGACATGTGAGTTGGCTTCACTTAGCGCTCCCTTTGATGGATTCCAGGCACTTGGCCAAAGGAAATGTATCTGACAGAGGGGCTTTCTCTTCCACAGATCCAGTCTGGGACCTTCAGGGAGCCAGATGTGTGCACACTCGCTGAGGTCCAGCCTCTCTCCCATATCACATATTGCTTCTCCTAGTGCAACTGCTATTCTCCTCCATGGGTTGATTCATGGTTCATGACCAGGTTGATTCATGTTCCCTCTGAGTTGGAGAACTATTGGTTGTGTTGGAGATGAGTGGCTCCTACGTGTGGTCTTTTGCTTTCACAGCCTTTTCCTGCTCCTCCTGTTTACTCACTGAAGGGCACCTGATCCTTCTCTGCAGGCACCTCACTCTAATGATAATGCTAATTAGCCCCTTATGCCTTCAACTTGTGTGGAGACCATTGTGGGGAGAATGGAGAGTGCCTTATCTCCTAAGGCACAATGTTAAACTGTCTGGCTTACGACTGATTAAGTTAGCACTCCATTTTAATTCAGTGCATCCTCAATGTAAGTATGGTATTACTGTACTGAAATGGAAGAGTTGAAGAAAAAGATAATTGGAACTTGAAGGAACGTCCCTGTTCAGATAGGTTGCAACATTTGGAGATTGTTTTGTTAGAAAAAGTGAGAAGTAATAAGAGAGATGATAGAGGTGTCTAAAGTATGGTGGTTGTGAAGAAAGTGACAGAAGCTTATTAATAAGATTAATTAAGTTTAATGGTGGGAAATTCAAGGCATACAATGGGAAATACCTATTTTCACATTGCATAAACTATGGAATCATTTCCACAGTGGCTTTAGAAGGAGACTAGACAAATTCATGGAATATTAGGTTGTGGTTATATTTCCTTGAGCATACCAATTTTGCAAGGTGGGGAGAACAGTGAGAACATACTGTTGTCTTTGTGTTCTGCTTGCGAGCTTCCCAGAGGGATTTGAAATCTGCTGGCATTGGTCTTAGCCATCATGACTAATATTCTGCATTTTTTTTAGAATAGGATCTGTTTGGGCAAGAGTTTTGGTTGGCCTGTTATGTTCAACTTGTTTCTTCTAGTAATCCCATTGTCATTTGTATGAATAAGGTCATATCTTAGTTCCTGGCTTTGCAGCGAGTCTTAGAAAATGATCTGAAGCAGTCCTCTGTTGAGCTCCATTCTTTTGGCTTCTGTTGACAGTATGCAGCTGAGGCCTCAGTTTTCCATCACCAAAATTACTTCCGTCAGATGCCATCTTTGACTTGGAGCTAAAGATTTGTTTCCAGTTTGTGTACCAAGGGTTGAGAAGTTGTTATGAATGCTGCCTACTCCCCAGCTCTGAGCCAGAGAAGAAGGTTAATTCTTCTTCAGTTTTTCTGTCCAGAAAGTAATGTAACACACTGCAACAAGTGGCAGCATAGATTATTGTGTTTGCATCCATCCAGTTGTATGGTCATGTGCAGAACAGGGCCACCCTTTGATCCAGAACACACTAATATACAGTATGTCTTGCAAGCACTGTAGTTTCGTATTCTTGGAAGATTTGTATATGTACATCATACATGCATGTGTAAAACATCTGGCAATTTTAATATTTGTGTTTGTATTCTTTTGTAACGGTATGCATAGAAGTGAGATACAGATAAAAAACCTCAAATGTGATCAATCAGTGCACTTGCTAAATTTAAAACACTGGTATTGTTTGCTTTGCATTGATGTTTTTGCAGATACTGTACAGAATTAAAAGTTTTCCATGGTTTTGCTTGTATTTTCTTAGAAATTGAGATTAAGAAATAGCTGTTCACAGGAAGATAAATAGGATTTTAAGAGAAGTGTTTAAGTAACAAGCTTTACTGTGATTTAAGAATAGACATGTCAGAGAGTTTTCTGAATATGAAGTAAAACTTAACCAATTCCTCTCCATAAATTATAATGTGAATATTTTAATGATAGATACATTGCTTTCTTGTTTTTGTTGTTGATGATGACTATATTTGCCTTCCTGTAGAGATGCGAGTTATGCCCTCACAAGGATGGTGCTTTAAAGAGGACAGATAATGGGGGTAAGTTTTCTGTTAAAAATACTTTATGTAAAAATTGTTTCTTAAACCATAAAACTTGTCCCATTTTCTGCAGTTGTTTTTAGTGGAGTGATATAAATTGAAATTTAATAAGGAGTAGGATGTTTTAGGACCTCATGATAACTGCTGGATAGCTCAGTGGTTGAGGTATCTGGCTGCAGAGTCAGAGATACTTCCTTGACAGGGGCTGGACTTGATGATCCATAGTGTTCCTTCCACTTCTGCAGTTCTAAGATTGTTGTTGTTTTTATCTATAAATGTTATGATATATTAAAGATAACTGAAACGGCTGTATTCCAAAGTTTGCATTTAATTACTGAGGTGTTCAATACTGTAAAATAGATTTATTCTTGCAGCGTGTATGAGTTTCAGAAATCTTATCTTTCTTTTACACATGGAGAATGAGAGCACTTTATCATGTTAGAGGGCTCAATATAAATTGCGGATTTTAATGTATGCAGAAATCATTGAGTGTATATGAACAGTGCAGGTTACTTAATTCCTTATGTAGTAGTCATTCAGCGTTCTCAAGTAGCATATTTAAAATTGGTAATGCTTTGTAATCCTACCTGACTTTGATATAACAAATGTGAGCTGAAATTTTTGCAGATTTATTTTTGGAAATGGTAAATAAACTTCCTCTTCCTGTGGACAAATATCACAAACTGATGGATAAATTTTAGGTCTTGAATCTTTTAAAGGAGTAAATACAGAACAAAGAATTAAAATATTTGTACGTTGGCTTTTTGTTCCAAAAGCCACAATTTTAATAATCACTACAATCCAATTAAAAATACTTTCAAAAGCTCAGTTTAAAAAAAAATGCAGTATAACAAAGTATGCAGCAACCCTGCAAAATAACAGCCATAAAAAGCATCAAAAAGGTTCAAAGTAGGGTAACAGATCCTAAAAGCAAGCTGAGGGCTTGTCTGCATGCAGGCTGGTGCTGGCTAAATAGCGTATCTTGGGGTTGGTTAGAGGTCTAACTTCTTCCACTTTCAGTTTGCTATATCATGAAGTGATGTAAGAAAAGAGCTTCAGGAAATTGGCACCAAGAGGCATTTTTTATTTCCTTTGATTTGTCTTAAAGGTTCAGTTAAGAACCTGACTGTAGCCAAATCCATCGCCAAGAACTGGCTGGGGTTACAAGTTTAGGAAGCACTGTTCTCATCCCAGAACATTTAGGACTTTAAAGACCATTTAGGTCTCCACTATGCAGTTGGATATTGAAGTTGAGGTAGAGTAGTTACAGAAATACAAGAAATGTGTCTGCCTTTAATTTTCATAATCTACTATGAATTTGCATTTTTATTGTACAGTTTTTTTTCTATAAAATGTATTCTGTAGATGTTCATTCTCTCTCCATAAGAAACTCTTTGAAGCAGTTCACAAAGAAATGCCAAAATGGTAAAAGATAAAATCACACTACAAAATTTCATATTTATGCTATAATTTTCACATGATCTGGGTTTCCAAAAATTCTTTATGTGGCTATTTTGGTTGTTCTTAAGTGTTCAAAATGTATGTTAGAAGAAATCAATTATCTGCATTATCTAGTTTACATTTGCCTAATGATATTTTAAGCATTTTTCCTCTCAAAATGCAATATTGAATTTATGATTTTTCTTGATTTAGGATTGAGCTGTATCTCTAAAAGAATATTTCGTAAGGGTGATGATATTAGGAAATTAACTGATTTTTGTCTGCTTTATGTGGAATAGCAGCATAATCTACTGATGTCTTTTATTTCATCCTTCACTCTTTGTAGCTGTATACTGCTTTAAAACAGGCATTAACTGCTATGAACATGTGTTTAATGGCACTGAATATATGAATATATAAAGTAGTGCTTGAACGAGCAGAGATGTTTTGTGAGTATGGAACATAATTAGTCTATCATGTTCAGGTAATGATGAGGGGTGTGTGAGGCAACAGTGTTTCAAACCCTGCGGGATGGTAGAGACAAATAGCATGATCCTTCACTTGAAGGCAGATGGGTTCAGTAGACTTTCAGACATACCTTGTCACTACCCACTTTTATTGGGATTTGGGCCAAGATATCTAAAGCAAACACAAAGACCCTCCAAAGGTTTTCATCTCTGACCACTGGCTGGAGCTGTGGTAGTAGGGAAGTCTAATGGTGGATTAGGTATTCCAGTTGGTTGAGGATAGTGAAGTAGACGGAATGATCAGAGGTAGACATATCAGGGTCAATCCAGTTGAACACCGATATGAACCTATTTGTTTTAGCAGTGAAGGAATTTATTTTCTCCACCATCACATCTTCACAAGTGCTGTCCACTTGACATTTTGCAAGTCTCTAAAGGCCTATAATGAATTAACTTGTTCTTTACTTTCAGAAATGTGGTAAAACCCTTTTGATTCGGTGAACTCTGAGAGAAACATGTGAGGCCTTGCTGATACACTATATTTTCTTATACAGTATTTGTGGAATATTGAACCAGATAGGTTTAAAACCAGATAGGTTTTTAATTTTGTCTTTTTGTCTTTTTATTTATATATGTATATATATGTGTGTGTGTGTGTGTGTGTGTGTGTGTGTGTGTGT